CCATGCTCCCAATTTGCTTATGGGTTCTTGTCCCCAATCCCTTTTTGGGGAGACCATGTGTTTTTTTCTCTTGGGGTTTTCCTTGTTTCCATGTTCTTCTGGCAGTATGGATTGTAGGCTGCTAATCCTTTTCTCTATGCCTAAAAACCATACATGAGTGAGTACATACCATGTTTGTCTTTTTGTGATTGAGTTTCTTCTAGTTCCATCCATTTACCTGCGAATTTCAAGATTCCATTTTTTCCTACTGAGTAGTACTCCACTGTGTAAATGTACCACATTTTCTCTATTCATTCTTCAGCTGAAGAGCGTCTAGGTTGCTTCCTGGTTCTGGCTATTACAAACAACACTGCTATGAGCAGTCGAATACATGTCCTTGTTGTATGAATGTGCATTCTTTGGGTATATGCCCAGGAGAGGAATTACTGGACCTTGAGGTAGACTTATGCACATTTTCCTGACAAGCTGCCATACTGATTTCCAAAGTGGTAGTATATGTTTGCATTCCCACCACAATGGAGAAGTGTTGCTCTTTCTCCAGAATAGACTGTCATTGCTGTTTTTGATTTTAGCCATTCTGGTCGGTGTAAGATGGTAGCTCAGAGTTGATTTTAGTTGTATTTCCCTGATGGCTAGGAATGTTGAGTACTTTCCTAAGTGCCATTCAACCATTTTAGATTCCTCTATTGAGAATTCTCTAGTTCTGCACTCCACTTTTTAATTGGATTGCTTGGTGTTTTGGTGGCTAACTTCTTGGGTTCATTGTATATTTTGGAAATCAGTCCTCTGTCAGATGTGGGGTTGGTGAAGATCTTTTCCCATTCTGTGACCTGCCTTTTTTCTTGATGACTTTATCCTTTGCCTTACAAAAGCTTGTCTGTTTCAGGAGGTCCCATTTATTAATTGTCGATTTAAATGTCTGTGCTATTGGTGTAATGTTCAGGAAGCATTCTCCTGCACCAAGTAGTTCAAGGGTGCCTCCTACTTTATCTTCTAAGAGGTTCAATGTGGCCAGATTTATGTTGAAGTCTTTTGATCCATTTGGATTTCAGTTTTGTGAATGGTGATAGATAGATATGGATCTATCTGCAGTCTTCTACATGTCCGCATCTAGTTATGCCAGCATCAATTGTTGAAAATGCTTTCTTTTTTTCCATTGTATAACTTTAGCTTCTTTGTCAAAAATCTGGTATCTGTAGGTGTGTGGGTTAATATCATGGTTTTGAATTCTATTCCACTGGTCTACCTGTCTTTTGTTGTGCTAAAACCAAGCTGTTTTCAGGATTATTGTGCTATGGTAGAGCTTGAAATCAGGGATGGTGATGCCTCCGGAAGTTCCTTTATTGTACAGGATTGTTGTGGCTATCCTGGGTTTTTTTTTCCATATAAAGTTGAGTATTATTCTTTCAAGGTTTGCGAAGAATTGTGTTGGGGTTTTGATGGGGACTGCATTGAATCTGTTTGCCCTTTTTGCTATATTGATCCTACCTATCCAAGAGCATGGAGATCTTTCCATTTTCAGATGTCTTGTTCAATTTCTTTCTTTAAAGACTCAATGTTCTTACTGTACAGGTCTTTTACCTGTTTGGTTAGAATTACTCCAAGATACTTCATGCTATTTGTAAAGGGTGATGTTTCTCCAATTTCTTAATTAAGTTAAGGGGTAATTAACTTAGTGGGGATTGACACAATTTGATTATAATCATTGTTAATATGCTAATTCATGAAAAAAATGACTGATAAGAAAGAGTTCTTAGAAAAAAATCTACTAAGGAAACTAAGAAAAATACTCTTACACAGACATGAGTTTAGACTAGAACCTATGACACCATTTCATGAAGAATGTGACAAGGAAACTTAATTTATTCTGTTACCATTTAAGAATGACCATCAGATGATAGGCATCCACAAGACTATTCAAAGTTAATTGAATCCTGCAGAAATGTATGATTTGAAGAGATTTAAGGAAGCAGTAGTTTCATATGATATGCATTCATCTTTTGTGAAGTAGATGTTGAATTCATGATCAACACAAAACAGAAAATTTCCAAAAGAATGGAAAGATTTAGCTACAGCATTATTGGAAGCTAGTCCTCACTTATCCTAGAATCATGGTGGAAAGAACAAACTAGGTCATAGAACAACAAAGCAGGGCTTGAAGTATGGAAATTTCCTAAGACCAGCTCTCAGTGAAGGCCAGTATGCTGATTTGCAAAGATAGTTTATATTTAATGATCACACCTTGGCCCTAGGCCATATAGCAGCTTTTAATATTTGGGACAGGGATCATGGATCAAGAAAGAAGACTGAGTCACTTATGAAAATTATACAAAGCCCAAAATAAGTCTTTATTGATTTTTAAAAAAAAATTGAATCATTGACTTCAGCTGTAAATAGAATGGTATCAGATCCAGGAGTTAGACAAATGGTAACTGAATCTTTGACTTTTAAAAATGTTAATTAAGAGTCCAAAAAGTTGATTAGGTTTTAAAGGCAAGATCAACACCAACAGATAAATGGATTAGCAATAAAGCTTTTATTAGATTTCACACCTATGCTAATACTTAGAAAGGAGATGTAATTTCTAATTAAAAAAACATCAAACGTTTAGATATTTTAATTGTGGCAAACCAGGCCATAAGAAAATGGATTATAGGCAAGGTGTTACTAAAAACAGTGTTTTTTCTAGAGCCAATCCAAATAGGCAGGCCCAGCCTTCTGGAATATGCATAAGGTATGAAAAAGACTGGCATTGGACTAATAAACATAGGTCAACAAGAGACAGATAAGATAACCTGATGCCATTGGGAAAACCCCAGAGAGCGTATCATGTGTCCCAATGTCAAATGTGGTTCAATAACTCCCTGTCAGTATTAGAGAAACCCCTCTACAGAGCAATTAGAATATTTACTGCCTGTTGTAAAAAGTCATACTTCTCTGAATCACATAAAAGCTTCATTAGATAAAACAATATTTTCAGGAGAGACAATAAAATATGTATTTTGGCAAACTGCTATAAATGAGCAGAGATCAAGGCTAAAAATACAAATAAATGGCATTGAAATGGACTCTTGGGGTAGGTTCTAGGCCCTGTCCTGGATGAAATGACAGACTATGGACACACCCATGGAAGAACTCACCCTCCCTGGGGAAAGGAAGGGTTATTGGGTGGGTAGTGCGAGGAGTGGGAGGAAGGGAGGGAAAGGGAGAGGGACATGAGATTGACATGTGAAGAAACCTTGTTTCTAATTTGAATTTAAATTTAAAAATAAAATTAAAAAAAAGAAGGCCAGTGAACATTAAAAAAAAAGAAAGAAATTGAGGGTTTGGTAGACACAGGTAGATGTAACACACCAAAATCTTGGCATCCAAATTGGCCCCTTCAGGAAGTAAATATTCAGCTTCTAGGTATTGCAAGTTTGTCTCAGATAAAACAATGTACAAAGTTGATTAAGTATATATGATCAGAATAAAAAGTAGGGAAATTAAAGTCATATGCAGCTAACATAGCAATGGATTTTTCAGGATATGATTTGTGACAGCAATGGAAAATCTAGATTAACATTCCTCCAATCTCAGAAACAAACCATAAACTAACATATGCTTCTGAGAAAAATATTAAAAGATATTATCAAGAAGAGTCATTGACTGTTCAGAGTGGATATAAGCAGGTCACAACAGCTGCTGTTCATTCTTAGATACCAACATCCCTACCTTTAAAATGGTTAACTGACTAACATGTCTGGGTGTAACAGAAACCTTTAACATCAGAAAAATTACAGACACTAGAACAGCTGGTACAGGAGCAGCTAAATGCTGACCATATTGAACATTGACCAATACTCGGCATTCTCCTATATCTGTGATTAAAAAGAAATCTGGGAAATTGAGAGTGTTGACAGATTTAAGAGCCATAAATAAGGTGATTCAGGCAATGGGCTTTTTAGAGTCTGGAATTACCTTACCTTCTTATTACCTAAAGGATGGTCTATTATAAAGATTGATTTAAAAGACTGTCTTTTTACTATACCTTTACAAGAACAGGATAAAGAAAGAAATGCCTTCACTGTGTCTACTTATAATAATTACTAACATGCTAAAAAAGTATCAGTGGAAAATTATAACTCAAGGGAGGTTAAAAACAGTCACCTTCTGTCAATATTTTGTAAAATAGCCATTAGAAATAATTCATAAAGTTTCCTCAACCTACAATTTACCATTATATGGGTGATATCTTACCTGCTGATTCAGGCACAGATACCTTAGAGAAAATGTTTGAAGATGTAAAGAAATGTTTGCCTTATTAGGGATTACTAATAGCTCCTGAAAAAATACAAAAAAAGAGATTAGATTAATTACCTAGGATATAACATAGCTTTACAAAATTCAACCACAGAAAGTACAAATCAGGGGAGGACAATTATGATTCAGGTGACACACAAGTAAAAAATAGCTGTAAAAGTATAGTTAGCATCAGCACCCATCTGTAAATGCCAATCAAAACTAACATTAGATTGCATTCTTCATCTTGGTAGAATCCCTGTTGAATGATGGGTATACAGAGTTGATGAGTATCCTTAACCATCTGAGTGCAAACACCATTATTACAATTTTTCCAAAAAAGTATTGTGCTTACACACACACACACACACACACACACACACAGAGAGAGAGAGAGAGAGAGAGAGAGAGAGAGAGAACATTAATCAATTCCAATATGAAGTATCTCTCCAAAGGAAATGGATCAAGGAAGCCAATGAAAATGTACTCACATGTCCACTGTAGATTATCTAGCCATAAAAAAAGCAAGCCAAGTATCCATTATCTAATATATGAATGAAGAAAATGTGGTTCCTATACACAATAATGTAGTGATCACTATGACAACAAAGATGAACAAATAGACAGAGAAATAATGATGTAGTAAGTCATGCTACATGGTTCCACTCATGTAAGTTCTAAAACTCATAGAAGGTGAAAATAGAATGGTAGACAACATGGTGGGAAGAGTGGAAAGCAGAAGGTGTGGAAAAATGATACTCAACTGGAAATGCTGTGTTTGGTAGGAGTTAGAAATCCTGATGTGGGCTATCCCAGCTTCAGGTGAGCTTGGGTCTCCGGGGGGGCACTCCCCATTCCACCACCCAACTCCCATCCCCTCAATCTCCTGGGGCCCACTCCTGGCATCCAGGAGACCCACCCACACTGGAAATGCATCAGCCCTTCCAGGCCCCAACCTTTGGCGACCCCAGCGTCAGGTGAGCCTGGGTCTCCGGGGGAGCACTCCCCATCCCACCACCCAACTCCCATCCCCTCAATCTCCTGGGGCCCACTCCTGGCATCCAGGAGACCCACCCACACTGGAAATGCATCAGCCCTTCCAGGCCCCAACCTTTGGCGACCCCAGCGTCAGGTGAGCCTGGGTCTCCAGGGGTCACTCCTTATCCCCCACCCAACACCCATCCCCTCGATTTTCTGGGGGGCCACTCCTGGCATCCAGACAACCCACCCACATAGGAAAGGCATCAGCACTTCCAGGACCCAACATCGGGAGACCCCAGCTTCAGCTTCAGCTTCAGTGTCAGTGTCCCCAGCTTCAGCTTCAGGAAGGAAGGAGACAAGTGGAGATGGAAACACACCACCTAAACCCACTGGAAGAAGAGATAGGAAGAAGACTGAATAAGGGCACACCCAGCAATAGAAAGACCAACATGACTCCACCAGAATCTAGAGAACCAACGCTAGCAAGACCTGAAAAGCACTACATAGATGAAGCAGAGGAGATAGACCTTAAAAATTATTTTATGAAGATGATAGAGACCCTCAAAGAGGAAATGAGGAAATCCCTTAAAGAAATAGAGGAAAAAACAAACAAAACTCCATGAAATGGGGGAAAAATTCAAGAAATAAACTAATCCCTCAAGGAATCTAAAGAGTAACTACAACAACAACAAAAAAAACCAACCAAACAAATGAAGGAAACAATTCAAACAGTTGAAAGATTGAAAGCTGAAATAGAAACAATAAAGAAAACACAGAACGAGGGGAGGCTGGAAACAGAAAAGCTGGGTGAACGATCAGGAACTACAGATGCATATAGATGCAAGTATCACCAATAGAATGCAAGAGATATAAGAGAAAATCTCAGGTGTTGAAGACTCATTAGAGGATATACAGTCGTCAACCAAATAAAATCGCAAAACCAAGAAATCCCTAACACAAAATATCCAGGAAATATGGGACACCGTGAAGAAGCCAAACCTGAGAATAATAGGTATAGAAGAAGGTGAAGAAATACAGGTCAAAGTTACAGAAAACATATTCAACAAAATCATAGAAGAAAACTACCCTAATCTAAAGAAGGATATGACTATGAAAATACAAGAATCTTACAGAACACCAAATAGGCTGGACCAGGAAAAGAAGTCACCTCGCCATATAATAATCAAAACATCAAACCTACAGAATAAAGAGAAAATATTAAGAGCAGCTAAAGAAAAAGGCCAAGTAACATATAAAGGCAGACCTATCCGAATTACACTTGACTTCTCAATGGAAACGATGAAAGCCAGAAGATCCTGGACAGATGTCCTACAAACACTAAGGGAACAAGGATGCCAGCACAGACTACTATATCCAGCAAAGCTATCAATGACCATAGATGGAGAAAACAAAATATTCCATGACAAAGCCAGATATCAACAATACGTGTCCATGAATCCAGCTCTACAGAAAGTGCTAGAAGGAAAACTTAGATCCAAGGAAGATATCTACACTCACAAAGACACAAGCAATATATAATCCCACTTTACATAACACCAGAAGAAAAAGGGAGGAGAAACTACACAAAATAACTTCTCTACCAATAAATCAAGCACAAACAAGAATCATCAATCAATGGTCATTGATATCCCTCAATGTCAACGGCCTCAACTTGCCTATAAAAAGACACAGACTAGCAGAATGGATACAAAGACAGAACCCATCCTTCGGCTGCATACAAGAAACAAATCTCAACATCAAAGACAGACAGTAAAAGATTTTATGATCAAACGGACCCAAGAAATAAGCGGGTGTAGCAATCCTAATATCTAACAAACTAGACTTCAAATTAAAATCAATCAAAAGAGATGAAGAAGGACATTTCATTTTCATCAAAGGAAAAGTCCATCAAGATGAAGTCTCAATTTTAAACATCTACGCCCCAAATACAAAGGCACCTACCTTTGTTAAAGAAACATTACTAAAGCTCAAATTGCACATAAAATCGCACACACTAATAGTGGGAGACTTCAACACTCTGCTCTTACCGCTAGACAGGACCTCCAGAAAGAACCTTAACAATGAAACAAAGGAACTAATAGAAGTTATGACCCAACTGGGTTTAACAGACATCTATAGAACAGTCCACCCAAACACAAAGGGATATACCTTCTTCTCGGCGCCACATGGAACCTTCTCTAAAATTGACCACATAATAGGAAACATAGCAAATCTCCACAGATACAAAAAAAATTGGAATAACCCCCTGTATCCTCTCAGACCACCATGCATTAAAATTAGAATTCAACAATAACACAATTCGCAGAAACCCCACAAACTCATGGAAATTGGACAATGCTGAATTTCACCATCCCTGGGTAAAGGAAGAAATAAAAAAAGAAACTAAAGTCTTCCTGGAATTCAATGAGAATGAAGATACAACATACACAAACCTATGGGACACTTTGAAAGCAGTGCTAAGAGGAAAGTTCATAGCACTAAGTGCCCACATGAAGAAACTGGAGAACAGTCATACTAGAGAATTGATAGCACAGCTGAACGTTCTAGAACAAAAAGAAGCAAACTCACCCAGGAGGAGCAGACGCCAGGAAATAATTAAATTGAGGGCTGAAATCAATCAAGTAGAAACCAGGAGAACATTGAGAAGAATCAAAGAAACAAAGAGTTGGTTTTTTGAGAAAATTAACAAAATAGACAAACCTCTGTACAAACTAACCAAAAGACAGAGAGAGAGCATGCTAATTAACAAAACCAGAAATGAAAAAGGGGACATAACAACAGACTCTGAGGAAATCCAGAGAATCATCAGGGCATACTTTGAAAATCTGTACTCCACAAAATTTGAAAATTTAAAGGAAATGGACAATTTCCTGGATAGATATCACTTGCCAAAACTAAATCAAGAGCAGATAAACAATCTAAGCAGACCTATAACCCTTAATGAAATAGAAGCAGTCATCAAAAGTCTCCCAAACAAAAAAAGCCCAGGCCCAGATGGCTTCAGTGCAGAATTCTACCAGAAATTCAAAGAAGAGTTAACTCCAATACTCCTCAAATTATTCCACACAATAGAAGCAGGAAGATCACTGCCAAACAACTACCTTGATAAGCAAGCCACACAAAGACACAACTAAGAAAGAGAACTATAGACCAATCTCCCTCATGAATATCGATGCAAAAATACTCATGATCATCTCACTAGATGCTGACAAAAATCCAGCACCCCTTTATGATAAAGATCCTAGAAAGATAAGAGATAACAGGAACATTCCTGAACATAATAAAAGCAATATACAGTAAACATCAAACTAAATGGAGAGAAACTCAATGCAATTCCTCTAAAATCAGGAACAAGACAAGGCTGTCCACTCTCTCCATATCTCTTCAGTATTTTATTGGAAGTTCTGGCTACACCAATAAGACAACAAAAGGAGATCAAGGGGATACAAATAGGAAAATAAGAGTCAAGCTTTCACTATTTGCAGATGATATGATAGTTTACATAAGTCACCCAAAAACTCTGCAAGGAAAATCCCTTGCAATCCCTATCAAAATTCTGGCACAATTCTTCACAGACCTTGAAAGAACAATAATCAACTTTATGTGGAAAAACAAAAGTCCCAGCATAGCCAAAACAACCCTATACAATAAAGGAACTTCAGGAGGCATCACCATCCTTGACTTCAAGATCTATTATAGAGCTATAGTCCTGAAAACAGCTTGGTATTGGCACAAAAATAGACAGGTAGACCAATGGAACAGAATTTAAAACCCTGATTTTAACTCACACACCTATGAACACTTGATTTTTGACAAAGAAGCTAAAACTATACAATGGAAAATGGAACGCATCTTCAACAAATGGTACTGGCATAACTGGATATTGGTATTCAGAAGACTGCAGATAGATCCATGTCTGTCACCTTGTACAGAACTTACGTCCAAATGGACTAAAGATCTCAACATAGGTCCAACCATACTGAAACTCTTAGAATGGAAAGTGGGATTTACTCTTCAACAAGTTGTTACAGGAGACCACTTCCTGAACATAACACCAGTGGCACAGACACTGAGATTGACAATTATCAAATGAGACCTCCAAAAATTAAGAAGTTTCACCTTGTACAGAACTTACGTCCAAATGGACTAAAGATCTCAACATAGGTCCAACCATACTGAAACTCTTAGAATGGAAAGTGGGATTTACTCTTCAACAAGTTGTTACAGGAGACCACTTCCTGAACATAACACCAGTGGCACAGACACTGAGATTGACAATTATCAAATGAGACCTCCAAAAATTAAGAAGTTTCTGTAAGGCAAAGGACACTGTCAACAACACAAAAAGTCAGTCCACAGAATGGGAAAAGATATTCACTAACCCCACATCTGACAGAGGCCTAGTCTCCAAAATTTACAAAGAACTCAAGAAGCAAGTCTCCAAAACACCAAAGGATCCAATTAAAAGGTGGGGTACAGAACTAAATAGAGAATTCTCAATAAAGGAGGCTAAAATGGCTAAGAGACACTTAGGAAAGTGCTCAACATTCTGAGCCATCAGAGAAATTCAAATCAAAACAACTCTGAGATAACATCTTACTTCTGTCATAATGGCTAAAATCAAAAACACCAATGACAATTTATGCTGGAGAGGATATATAGAGAGGGGAACACTCCCCCACTGCTGGTGGGAATGCTAACTCATGCAGCCACTTTGGAAATCAGTATGGAGATTCCTCAGAACAATGGGAATCAATCTATCACAAGACCCAGCAATTCTACTCTTAGGCATATATCCAAAAGAGGCAAGTTCATACAAC